AGCAGTAGCAGTAGCAGTAGTAGCCACGAGTTAGCAACGAGTAGGAGTAGCAACGAGTAGGAGTAGCAAAAGCACTAGGAACAGTAAATAGTAGAGAGAAGCAGGAGCATCAGGAGTGCTAGAGTGCTTGTTGTAGCACTAGTATATACAGGTGTTTGCCGGAAATTGCAGACGGACGATAGAAACGCCTTCATGAGTCGTGGCTGAAGCACCCGCCCATCCAAATCTGGAGCTGCTTGTAAAACTGATAACTTTGACAACTAGGACCTGCCCAATGCCGCAGAGTGTCGTTCGGATCTGCGCATGTCAACCTCTCTTGTGCTTTGAGGCCGATAGCTACTTCGTTTATAGTCTTTCCACCTTAATGCTACAGGCCTCCCAATTACATGTGCGTGTAATGACAGTTCAAGAACTCGAGGATCGCGCAGCGCAGCAGCTGGGTCGCGATTGTCTGTTCAACCGTTGGATGTAGTGTTGCGTAAAATGCTTGTGGCCAATTGGCGGCTTCTGCGGAACTAATTGAGCTGGCAAATGGTTATTCCAGCATCAGCTACTACTGGTTATGGCATGGCACTTTTGCTTTCTCCATAATGGAGATGCCTGAACGATGCTTCACAGGAAGCTGGCGTGATCTCTCCTGAGCACTGGACCCCATTCCTAGGGCGCTTAATACTGCGGAAATCACAGCAACAGACGTGGGTGTATATATCTGCATGTCTGTAGGCCGGAAGCTCTACCATCCGAAGTCCTCAGCCTGCAGTACCTGGACCGATGTGGCCAAGAAATCCAAGACCCCCTATGGCCCGATGGCAGGGCCCAGCCTCACCGTACTTGCTCATCAGAAATGAGAAGCTTTCTAAACCCCCTCAGCAGCGAACAATCCGCAAGCCCTAACCCACCCCGCCCCACCCCTCCACCTCCCGACAGACAAAAGCGGATCCGAAACCCCAAGCGACCCTTCCAAGGGTCCGGCGTGTTCTTGCCACAGGGGCACTTAATGCCCTTGTTCACACACTGCGTGGTGATGTTGGACTTCTTGCCTGCCCATTGCCCCCCCAGATAAGAAATACTCGAGCATGCTTTGCTGCACGAATCTTTCCGGAGATGGGGTGTGAGGTTCGGCCTGGCCGAGGCAAGGTTATCCCCAACACGGAAACCATGACCGTACAGGTTTACTGTAGGGGCCTGAAGAATTACCAATAATTATTAGGTTCCTTACCGTAGTTGTAGTATAACTTCGCCAAAACCGCCGAAGCGGTCAGAGGTTCCTACTCGGACTTCCTCTATTCCCCACCTCTTAATCCCCTCCCCAACCCTCAAAACCTTTAGTGGGGTCCTCTACGTCTTGTCTGTCGGAGTCGCACCCACCCCACCCCACTCCACCCCACGCCGACCACGACCCCCCCGCGGCCCATCCCCCGGCCCACCGGTCACACCCCCCCTTGCAGGGTTCTTCAGAGGTTCTGCCCTTTGTGTTTCGGGCTTCGAAGGCTTCGAGGTTCGGTTTCCGGACGTAACCCTGATATTATTGCTAGTATCAACATCAATATTGCTATTACAATGAATAGTAAAGTTTTTGGTCATTATGCTGGTTGTTATTACTACTACTATCATTATTCTGAAGATCACTATTCCTATGATTGTCATTAACATTACCATTATCAGTTCAATTGTATTTATCATTAACGTTATCATTACTACTACTAACTACTGTGATGAATACTGTTATTGTTGCTGCTACTGTTGTTATTGTTAACACGAGTATCATTTCTATGAATAAATCATTTTGTGAATATCATTGTCATTGTTGTTGATAGTATCATCGGCATTATTACTATTGTTGCTATGAATACTATTATACCTACTACGCTGATTAAAACTGTTATTGCTATTGTTGTTAGTACTACTACCACTAATAATAATAATAATATCATTATTATCAGTATCATTATTAGTACTGTTATCAGTAACGTTATCATTTTATTTATGGTTGATACTGCTACTGTGATTACTATAAGTTATAGTGCTATTCTTATTACTATTGCCAATATTATTCTTATTGCTATTACTACTATGGTTTACGTATGTTTCTTACCAGCCCTATGATTAAAGCTACGTGGCAAAGCCTTTATCCTGAGGCCTGGCTGCACAGCCAACTTGGAGAAACTTTAAACGAAGTGGCGACGGACAAGTTCACAAAAGCCATCTCTGCCTCATGCTCACATATAAGAGCATACAACAGAATAAGACATGATACAACATAAGATAAAGCAATGTAATGCCATTTCACATCATGTGACAAACAGTTGATACGACATAGTACCATGAACTATAGTATGGTACAACACAGTCCAAACGCATATACGAATAAAATAACATACCATGCAGTACAAAACAAAATCAGAAAAGAACAGGAAAACTAGAATAGAACATAATACCAATAGAACAGAATCGAATAAACATATCCGAATAGTATGACACCCAGAAACCTTGAACTCTTCGCTGGGCCCCTGCTGCCAGCAGAGAAAGAAACCGAAACAGCCTGAACTGGTGTAGTCCAGCACATCGCACTGCTTCTCGGACTCTCTGCAAGGACAAACGATGGCAGCCTGGGACCTCAGGGGTTTAGAGTTTTAGGGGGTTTGGGATTGAATGGGATTTAGGGTTTCGGGCTTAGGGCTTAGGGTTTAGGGGTTTAGGATTGAATGGGATTTAGGGTTTAGGGCTGCTTTTTTCAATCGATTCTAATTTCAGCCTGCACGGTCTCCAGCACTACCGAAAATCAGTTGGAGGATACCTTGCCTATTTAGGTGTATGGCACCAACCCAGCCCCCGCCCTAGGATAGAAATCTATCTTAAGATCTCACCTCCCACCCTAGGATAACATCTATCTTAAGATCTCAGCCCCAGGAGGATGATCCCAACCTAAGCTACCATCCTAGGCACTTCTATTTAGGTGCCATACGCCTAACTAGGCAGCCTGTTCATGGCTGTCAAATGCTGACGGGACTTGCAGGCATCGGGAGGATCAGGCAGAGGACTAAGCTCTACACCCCAAGCTCTAACCCTTAAACTCTTCACCCGAACCTCCAAACCACCAAAAAATTAATCCTTAAGTCCTAGGCCCTAGACTAGGCTTTAGACCTCCGATACTCTGGAGCCAAAGGGCGCGAGGAGGCACGCGTCTGACCCTGGGCACCGCTGTGTGTTCTTGCCGCACCTGCCGAGGCATAGTTGGTTTAGGGCTTCGGATTTCCGGATGTTGGATTTCATGGTGTTCGGCATTTCTGCTCTTTCGACCGCCGCTCTGTGCAACTACACCGGCGCTCCCGCTGGACCATTATCGTCAGTCCTAGTGCTAGCATGGTCACTACTCTGGCTGACTGCCACTTTCATGCATCATCACTATCAAAACTAGCAGTGCTATAAGCCGTAAGAATCGTACTTCCACCTTGTGTTTGTTGAGAGTCGGGTACATTCCGGTTCATCTTAGTGCTGATGTGGCCACTGTTGTGGTTGTGGTTCTTGCAAATATTGCCAATGCTCATGCTGGTACCGTGAATAGCACCCTTCCATTCCATCTACATTGACGCCGATACTGTCCAATGCTACGAAGCCCGTGCCAGTGGCTGACACACTAATCGACGCGACTGTTGATGTTACCTGCCAGTACTTCTCCTAGTGGTACTCATGTCAGCCAAGCCACGGGCAATCAGCACTGGTGCTTACGCAGACCTCGCGATCGCCTTGCCGCAAAGCAACTACATGGAGCCGGGCGGGGTGGGCTGGGGAGCTGCATGCCCAGGATCAACTTGTGTGGGATGACTTATGACAAATTGCGATGGGGTGTGAATCCGTGCTCCAGTGCAAGATAAAGATAGGGTGCCGCTACACAAAACTTGCAGGTTTAATTCAAATCATTCAACCAACAATCTCGTAAACCAGTTTCAATTGACCGTATGAAGGTCTACGGATCTTGCCATGATTGATGTTACGTGGTAGGGTCCCGAACCAATGATGAAATCGTTTGCGCCAACAAAACTGGGCCCATGAAGGGCTCATTGTCATAGACTAAACCACATCTCAACGAAGCAGTAGAGAATGGTTGAACCATTCAGACGCCCATTGGGCTCACGGGTGTATGGGCGTTACCTGCCCTACACACGGGCAAAGTGAGAAGATCAACAGAGTAATGGTCGGATGGCCGGGTACGTACATCGCAGGGGCAAAATGA